GTCCTGAGTGAAGGTTGTGTTTCTGTTGCAGACAAAAAAAGCACACAGAGTTCTTTACATCCCTTATATCAGATGTGTGCAACACTCCCAAGGCTGGTACTCTAGATCTTCCAGAGTAGCACACTTGGTAGAGGAAAAGGCATAGACTTTCACATCACAGACCTGAACTGGCTATAAAATGAAAACACCTGGCAATTTTTCTAAGCTCTAACTTTAAAGGGGGCTAAAAGTTATGACTTCATACGGATTTGTACAGATTACGGTTGAAAATGTGTGTAAAGCCAACAGGAGGGACAAAACAGAAATCTAGATACCAGTTCATTTCTGTTTTCCCCAACTACCCCACTCCAATGCTCCCTTCACAGATTCTGGTGATGCAATTTGGTTATGTAATACTTTTTCCCTCTATATGTGAACTCTGGGTTAGTAAGGAGTGTCCAAATTGATAGGCCAGATTTAAGTGCATTTTTTTTCTTTTGGTTTCTACTAAATGCACACAAAATTTCCAGAGTTCATAAAGGTTTCCAATTAATCCTCCCCTCGTATATATTTGATATTGATATATACAAAGTCCATCTTTGTATCCCTAGTGCTTAGCACAATGCTTGGTATAAAAATACTGCTTAAATTGTGAATAGGTAAATAATTTGTTTTTAAAAAACCCTCCCTTCTCAAGGGAAGAGGCAAGCAAGTTCGTAGATTATAACACTACAATCTTGAAAGAATTTTCAGAGCTATATCAACAAAATGCTATGGAAACACAAAGGACAGAACTAATTTCACCAAGGGTATATGGAACAGCTTGATGGAGAATTGGATGGTAACAGTAATAAAAATAGTGCTTACACATACCAAGGTCTTACAATATTTCAATATTCTAAGCACTTAGTATATATACGAATTCATCTTATTTCCCCAAATAATTATATGAAATAGATAATGCTTTTTCCCATTTTACAAATAAGGATAGTGAGACCCCAAGATGTTCAGTAACTCACCTAAGTCACATGCTACAAGATACAGAGGTAGGATTTGAACCCACACTAACCACTACAGAGTGAGAAAAGATGGGTTCATTCCCGGCAGCGGGAACAGCATAGCCAGTCCCAAAGGGATAAAGGACCCTGTCTTGTCATGTTAAGATATTTAGTCCGAACACAATACTGCAGGCAGTGGAGGAACAAAGGAGAGCTGTACTCCAGAAGTGACACATGGATTATGGCAGCACTGAGCAGCAGCATGATAGAGAGGGTAAGACAAACTCCTAAGGCTCCTCCAAATGTAAGCTGTATATCATTGGGCAAGCCACTTAACCTCTTTATGGCTCAGCTTTCCTAACTGTGAAATGGAAATAGCTCCTCAGAGGATTGTACAGAGGATTATGTTATTATTTGTAAGGTAATCAGGATATTGCCTGGCATAGACAGCCATAAGACAGGTTGCTAAAATAAGCAAACAAATAGCTACTAAAGGTAGGAGATTATGGAAAGGGGCTGCTTTAACATGTCATGTAAAAAATGATGAAGACCTAACAGCAATAATGGAGATAAAGGAGATCCAAATTAAGCAATTTCTCAAGGAGAAGCAAAAGCATTTGGTGAGCATTCAGATTTTGATAGGGCAAGGTATGGTGTGAGGAGTGCTCAGTTAGGGAGTCCCCAAGACCACTCTCACTTCTTATACCACCTGTAAGTTTGGGATCCCCGAAACCACTCTCAGGTTTGGTTATTAGCTAGAAGGACATGAAGTACTCACTGTTACACTCATGGTTAAGGTTACAGTTTATTACAAATGAAAAGACAGATTAAGATTAGTCCAGGAAAGAGATGCATGGTGCAGATGCAGGAAAGTTCAAAGCATGAAGCTTCCAGTGGAATCATAGATAAGGAAAACTTTTCCCTGCCAGGATGTGTGACAATAAACACACAGGAATACTGTCAACTGAGGAGACTCACCAGAAATGTGGTTCTAGATTTTACTGAGGCTCAGTCACCCTAACATGACTGACTGCACATTTGCTGGTCTTTAATCTTCAGCCCTTTTAGTGTCCAGAGGCTGGAAACTGAGCTGTTACTTTGGCCTATTGCTCCCAACTTAAATCACATTATTAGCCCCATGTGATCCAAACCCCTAGGTAAACAAAGACACTCTTGAAACATTCCATGGGCTTAGAAACTGCCTCTAAGGAACTGAAGGCCAACACCACACATATTTTTGAATAAGGTTCATTCCTTACTACAAAGGCAGTGAAGGTGTAGGGAACAGAGGAGGAAACTGGATTGATGGTGGTGCCTTAAACTGAGATAAAGTATGCAAGTAGCAAACGGCAACACATGTTTGGAAGGGAAAATATTAATATACTGAATTTGCCTGGTATGAAACCAAGTGAAGTTACCAGAAAACACTTAGAAGCATGAAACTGAAGTCTGGGAAGGACTGAACAGCTTGAGATGACAGCATACTGCGGGAAGTTTGAAGTCATGCCATGAATGGACTCACCTGAAGGAGAACATGCAGACAACAAGCAGAGCAAAAACTGAACCAGGGTAAACTCCTACTTGAAAGAGCTGCTCATACAGAGGCATAAAGACTCAGCAGGAAAGGTTGCTACAAAATGATAAAATTTTTAAATCTTCACTACTATGTGTAACTAAAAATATTGAATAAATTATTTTCTTGGTAGGACAAAAATGCACTCACCTTTCCCTGGAAGTAAATAAACTCTGCAAGCCTGGTATTATGTCTTGCAAATAAACATTTAAAAAACAAAAATATTTCTGTTCTTATTTCCCCATGCCTCCTTCCATGTTCAGACTACTTTAAAGCTGCGAAAGCCTTTGTTTTGCCCATGGCAAATTTAGTACATGTTTATGCAAAACTTAAATTACCATGAAAACCCAACAAAAAGGTAGATGAAGCAGAAGGCACAGCTAATTAAGTGAATTTGAGGTTCAGTGCTCATTTTGTTTAGGGTCAAATAATAATTTTATAAATCTGTCTGAGCACATTAAATATAAATATAACTCATTACAGAGTATTGAGTAGCCAGAGTACTATAAAGTCTGAAGACAATACACCTCTTGAAGTTTTTTTTTTAATCACCCATGTATGTCTAATTACACCTCAGGTGTGAGAGGAGGAGTTAGCAGCAAGCATGCTTGAACCAGAGACCTGGGCACAATCCCTGCTCTGCCACATATTTAGCTGAGGGAACTTGAGCAAGTTACTCTATGCAAGTTCCTTTGGTGAAAACAGGAAACAAACCTCATAGGTTTGTTCTGAGGATCACATTATGTCAGCATTGCCTGGGATATAACAGACATGCAGGAGGTATTATGGTGATGTGGATATTCTATTTGAGTACCTTTGCATACTGAAAACATCATGAATTTATTCTACACTTCACTAGCAAAGACCACAACTATAAACTACGTTTTCATATTACAGTATTTATAAGATTCTACAACAGCTAATTTGTCTTAAAAATTATCTCAGAACCACCTCAGACTTTCATCTTTTTAGATAAGACTTAATCTCTGTTTTAAAACATTCTTAAAACTGTCCTTTGTAAAGGAGAAATTCTTACTTCATTGATCCAAGAGATGAGTGAGACAACCTGCTGACCAAGTTTCAGATATTTCCTACAGTCATGTAACTTTTTTTCCCCAGGTAAAATGTACAAGTATACCTCAGAGACATGGGGGAGTTCAGTCTCAGACCACCACCAATAAAGTGACTCATGCTTTTTCTGTTTTCCCAGTGCATATAAAAGTTCCATTTACACTACACTGTAGTCTATTAAATGAGCAATTGCATTGTCTGAATAAAATAAATACATACCTCGGTTTTGAAAATATTTCTAAAAAATGCCAACCATTATATGAGAGTTCAGTGAGTTATCACTGATCACAGATCACAATAACAAATACAATGAAAAAGTTTAAAATACTGTGAGAATTAACAAAATGTGACAAGAGTAAGCAAATGCAATTAGAAAAATGCCTCCCAAAGACTGCTTGACCCAAGGTTGCCACAAACCTTTAATTTGTAAAAAAAAAGATACCTGCTAAATGCAAAGCCCAATAAAATGAGATATGTGTTTGTTGGGGTATGGGGTTTGGCCCTAACTTCACAAACAGTGCACCTTCTCTCAACCTAAAATGCCTGGTCCCTGTTGCCGAGGTGAACGCCTATGAGTCACCAAGGCCTGGCTTCTCTTCAGCCCTTTACTGGTACTCTCAGGCCTTCTTAGATAAAACCAGATATTCCTGCCTATTTCTATCAAAATCCGCATGGAATTAACAGTTTATACAGTTTTAACCACGATCCCCCAACCCCTCCCCCATTAACACCAAACTGCGAACATACTGGACATGGGACTCTCTTACTCTTTGTACTCCCCTGGGCATTGGATATACTGTATCAAGCAGTCAATGTAAAGAACCCATGGCAGAACCAAAGGCAGAACTCTAAACATACAAATCAACTTCACTCACTTCTATGCATCAGATGTTTCATTTTCTATAATACATTTAAAGAATTTGTGTGCACACCCACACGTGTGTATTATTCAGAACACAGCCAGCCATCCACATAAGGAATAGGATTACCAAATGAAGTGACTTTAGCTAAAATAAAGCAATGTTGGCTTTAAAGATTTGTTAAATTATCCTCTGAATTTCAGAGACTAGTCAAATATCCTCAAAAGTTTTAAGAAAGTCTATTAATGGTATAATTAATTCTGCCAAACTGGTGAGCATTGCTGATTCAAAGATCAAAGCAACTGCTCAAGGCAAGGGCATAACATTCTTGCTTATTATCACTAGTTTTCTTTTTCCCTTTTCCATCTTCTTAAAATTCAATCTCTTTCCGCCTATAGCCTCTGTCATAAAGGGATACCAGGTTTAGACTTTTTATCGTTAATCCCCATAGCACCTCTCCTCCAAAAGGATTAATTTCTTGTTCTATAATAAAGCATCAAGAGATTTAATTATACTAACCTTACTGTATTCCAGGCATCTCCGAGTTCTCTGGAATATTGTTTCTCAAAATGATCCAACACAACTTTGCAAATCTGTTTTGCAAGCTTCCCCTCTGATTTTCCTTTCAGATGCTATGATGGTAAGAAAAAGTTGCTGACACAACCCGATAGTAAAAATTTATTGAACTCAACATTAGCACAGTCTTTCTTCATAAAATAAGGACACTTTTTCAGATAACTACTAGTTCTTGCAACGACAGCAGTACCTCACACCTAATAAAACTGCACTGCAATACTAATTTTTAAAAAGAGGGTTTCTTCAAATGATAATTACTCCAATTTTAAGGGGAGAGCAGAATGTAATGGTTTTAACAGAGGACTCTGTGTCAAAGGAACAACAGTGATTTAAATAAGCCACTCTAGATGTTAACATTAGGGAAAACTGGGTGAAAAGCACAGGGGAAGTCTGTATTAACTTTTCTGTAAATGTAGAATTATTCAAAAATAAAAAGTTTATTGAGAAACAAAGTCCTTCCAATTCCCTATGAAAACTCCTTGCAATTCTATTAATTTACTCCCCAAGAAAACATTATCGAGGACCTACTATGTAACATTGTCCTAAGCTGCCGGGATAGAGCAGTGACAGACACTCAGCCCTCAAGGGGCTTGCACTGTGCTCAAAGATGAAGGGAGTAGGTATTTAAGTCTGCGCGCAGGACTGCAGAGAACTCATCTGGGGACGCAGTTGAGTCGGGAGGAAACGACAAAAAACACTCACGAGCGAGAGTCAGAGCCCTCAAGCGTTATTCTAGGGCTTTGGATTGTGAGCGAGGGAAAAAAAAAAAAACCCCACAGACCGCGAGGTTCCCCTATCGAAGTCCCCTCCATCGCCACCTTAGCCCGTAGTGTCTGGTTCAGTCTGAGGCTCCCGGCCAGGTCCCAAGCCCTCACCCGGGTCAACATCATCCCGCCAGCAGGCAAACAAGAGATCCACGACCGACAGCAACCCAACTCGCCAGGGAACCGAAAGTACAGCTTCACTTCAGAATTTCGCCGGATTTTGCTCTCTTTCCTCACTTTTCCGGGCCAACTTCTCGCGAGATACTGCTTGTCCGCTATGATGAAATCTCACCATAGACGCCTAGTGCCGCGAGAGGCACACGCGGTCACTTCACGGGAGGCTGGTGGTGGAAGCTACTTGTGGGGGCGTGGCCGGTTCCTTCGGCAGGACCTTGAACGGCCCCAGCTAACGAAGCCGTGCCTTGCTCCAGTCTTTGCGCGTGCGGTTCAGTAAGAAGCGGAAATCTTTGTCATATATTATCATTTTTAAAATATTCTCAGATGCGAAGCTAGTTAGTGAATTAACCTAACAAATCTGATGACTCCCGTTAGCCCAGATGTTGAGACTCAGGAGAAAAGGATATGGATATGACGGAAAAAAATTAAGTCACACATTTCCTAGAGATGGCCCACTGGGATGTCTCAATGGGGAGCGTTACGTGATTATGTTGATTGAAATGCACAAGGCGCTTGGCACAGAGACCAGGAAACAATAAATGCCCAAATGTTAGCTGTGTATTATTTTCACTATCATGATCTTGATAATCATCATCATGTTCAGATAACCGAATGCCTGGAACCAGAATGCACACTAGCTTCTACACCCATCTTTACTAGGAGCAGTGTTACTGGTTCTCAGGAAGATGAATATTACACCCACTCTGACAGGAACAAGTTTATTTGCTCTTTTAGTGTTACTCTTCATATAAATAGCAATCAGCAATTTATATTAAAATCAGTGCTAATAGTTAAGAGGCATCATTGAGACTCAATGCTCGAAATACTGCAATGTACACTATAGGTGCAAATCTTAGAGCCATGTAAAAAGATAAATGTTATATCCACCACTGTGATTTGAAGCTTAATATATTTATTTAGTAAACAATTTCCCCAGTAATCTAAAGATGAATTGATTCAGTGGGTGGGTATTTATAATGTATCCTGTTTTATGACCATTTTCTTATATTAAAAATTATTTATATACATGATTTCCCATAGTAGTCAAAGCCTTGGAGGTTATCATACTAGCTTTCTCATTATTGATAACATCTTGCTCATGAATCTGCATGTCTGGTAATTACAATTTTTCATTAGTCCTTAGTTTGGATAGGTTTTCAAATCTTGTAATTCTTTTATAAATTACCCATTCATGTCCACTTACATTTAGAAATGTTAATTATATCACATTTCCAAGTACTTTCCTAGTTTTTCTTACAATCATTTGACTTTAAATGTGAAAATGTTTTAAATTTCTATGCAATAAATTGAGCTTGTAATTAATTCCATTGCTTTAAGGCTTGGGAATTTCTTCCCACAGAAGGGAGATACTTATGTTTCTCCCATCTTTTTCTTACAGCTTGATCTTTAATATTTAACCTACTGATCTATCTAGAATTATTAATGTATCATGAAAATATTAATGGATTTCTTCTATCTCACACCAAATAGGTACTGAATAAAGTTCCACAATAGAAATTGTTAAAAACAGACTTGTCTTAAACCACTGCAGACATAAGAAATTGAGCTGACACCAATACCAGAAATTATATTTATTTTTTTATTATAGTATTAAAGAATGAAACAGCCTATTAAGGATTTATTGCTAGTCAGAAAAAGAATTTTAACATACCTAAGCAATTTTATTGTTAAGTCCTTTGATCTAAGAAGTGTTTCATAATAACTATACTTTATAGACTATCCCATATACTGTTTTATGAATTTTCATATTTACATAAAACATATTTCCAAATCCTTCATATTCAATAGAGGTTTATCTGTCAAAAAGGTAAAGACAGGCTTTGTAGTAAAACTAACATCGAGAGCATTTGCTCCTTAAAATTGGTCACAGAAAAACACAACAAAGAAATCTGCCATCAGAGCAAGACAACAGAACATACAACAGGCAATCTTGGACTTTCAGGTGAGCAGCTAAGTAGGCTGCTGCTCCCATTTTATTTTAGATTTCCAAAGTGATATGTACAAATACCAGCAGACAATCTACTGACTGGGAAGTAAATCTAATAACTTGTATTTTTATCTAACTTTTTAAAAAAAATTCTTAGGGGGGAAGTCTATGTACAAAGTGCAGTACAACATGTAACTGTGATGGGCTGAAACTTGTCCTCAAAATTCTTATGTTGAATCCATAACCCCCAGTACCTCAGAATGTGACTGGAAATAGCGTCTTCCCAGAGGTGTTAAATTTTAAGATAGTCCCTTAAGGTGGGTCCTAATATAATTTGACTGATGTCCTTAAAAAAGAGGAAATCTAAACACAGTGAGACTAGAGAGGTGACTGCACACAGAGGAAAGACCACTGAGGACACAGGGAGTATGAGGTCATTTGTAAGCCAAAGAGAGAAGGTTCCAGAAGAAACCAACACAGTCAACATGTTAGACGTCCAGACTTCAGAAATCTGAGAAAATAAACTTGTTTAGTCACCCAGTCTGTGGTACTTAGCAGACCTAGCTAACTAATACAATAACTGAAATATAAATGTGTACTAAAAATTTTTACTGGAAAGGAAATATATTATTATAAAAATCTGTAGACCACTGATTCATTTACCTCGTTTGTAAATTGTTTTCTCACCAGCACACAGAGGGAATCTACAACGCACGCTCCAACAAATAATTTTCCTCCTCTTTTCCCATTAATTATAAGCTGATCCCCTTCATTAAAGGAAATTCATTTCTGACTTCCTATTTTCTTTCTCAAAGAAACAGGCTTTTATTACTGTTCCCACAAAGCTAATAGATTATTGCTATTTTGATAATTCAAATCATACTTTACTGTAAGTTTTGAAATACCTAAATTTGTTCTTTGGATCAGCTGGAATACATTTCTTGATAAATAGTATTAGCACAATGTCAGTTGCAACATATACTCCACTTAGAGGAAAACTTTGGTATTAAAGCCAAGGATAATAAGGCTTCTAAACTACAGCATTATTTGTATAAGCAGTTTCACTTCTGATAAGCTTGTGTACCTGGAAGCACTGGATTTCTTTAGTGTGGAATGAAAGAAATCAAGTAACATTAATAGCAAAGCATATAGAGCTATCAAATAAAATACTGTCATAGTAAAAAAAGAAAAACAGTAAGAGGTCAGTTCTAAATATTATGGCATACTCTATAGTTGAATGTCTCTGGGCTATTCACAGAAGTTTTACATATTAAGTGAATTCTAGTCTTTCCTTTGACACTTAAAAGAGCATATAATTTTAAACTTGCTGAAAACAGGCACTTAATTTTTACAAAATTATGAATGTGCTGTCCCATTATAAAAGTAAGTCAAATTAAAAAAAAATAGTTTGAAAGATTGAGGTAAAAACATAACCAATAACTCTAAAAAATTCACTATTAGGACTCTCTTGTCCCCTCCTGGCATGAGCTGGGAGCTCTGTCCTTTCACTTTATCTCTAAATAAAAGCCTGTACCTTGCTCTCCAACCTTGAGTGTTTGTGAAGCTCATTAAAAAAAAAAAAAGAAAAATTCACTATTAATATTTTGGAACATTCCTTTCTAGTGTTGCTTCCATGCATAGTTTTATACTTGACATCAATTACATACAACATTGTATATTTGTCATATCTGCATGTTACACAAAGGTATATATAGGATTATCTCAAATAAGAAAAAAATGTATTTTTTGGCCAGTATCTTTAACTTAACAAAAGACAGACACAGAATCATCTAGAATCATAACATATGTTATTTTAACTACCCTTTAAAATGAGAAGATTCTTTCCCACATACACAAAAACTTGTTCACAGAAAAAAGGTTTTCATGTACAATAGCAAAAATTCATTATTTTAATTAACTTAAAGTTTTTCAACAATCCTTTCTTATTACCCAAAATAAATCATTTAAATTTATCAAATGAAAAACAAAACAGCATAATAAATTATTTTTATTCTGTGAAAATGTTATAACTCATGATGATTAGGAATTTAAAATGCAGCATATGACAAAATAGGTATTACTTGTTAAAAGCCACCTGGATTTACAAAACCTCTTTTAAAATATTTTTAGAGTGCTTTAAGAATACAAATTAATTTTTTGAGATATATTAAGCATTTATTTATCATATATTTAATTTCAAAATCATTTTTATTCATATTTGGATGAATGTCCATAATGGACTCTGTAGTTATTGTACACCATAGTAAAGTACAATCAATGGAAGGAAACAAAAATTGTAAAAACATATTTATTCTCAAACTAGATGAATAGTAAAAAGATGGCAAAAGTATGAGTTTAGTTTTTTAAAAAATGAATGTAAAATGTTACCAAAGTAACCAACAAGATATGCAAACACATTTTTTCTCTAAAATTCATTTCAAAATTTACATTTTTTTTCTTGTGTTGCTTTCCCTTACGTTTCACACACCTCTCAACTTTGGGTTGTTAAGAATTTTATATCTGAAGTAGTATGCTTTTTACTCAGTGTGCTGGGTAGGACCCATGTACAAAACTCCAAAAAGCTGCAAATGATACTGACTAAACTAATAAAATGATACTGACTAGACTGACCTGATTAATGAATTATGAGTTAAAAATGTGAATAAAATGTGATCCTCTGAAGTAAAATTTTAAAAATGAGCATTTTAAACTACCTTAGGCATACTTAATCATATTCCTGTCAGATACCAATGTCTGTTATCAGCACAAGTTACTAAACTGACCATTTAACAAGGTGATATAGGAATCATACTGTTTATAGTATGTTCACCTTAACATAAATGCATGATTTCAGTGAAACGCAACGTGACTCAATTACTCAACATATTTATCTAAGAGTTAGTCTATATGCCAGACAAATGAAGAATCCTATTAGATGTCACTCTTCTGGGCAAGAGAAGTACTATTATTTTAAATTGAGAAATTATTTTGGAGTCATTTCTTTATAAAAGTCATTTTAAACTAACATTTTTATTCCTATTGCTTTAGTACCCAAGCCTTTCCTGGTTATGAAACACCAGTCTCCGGACCTAGAAATGGCAAAAGTATGAGTTTAGTTTTTTAAAAAATGAATGTAAAATGTTACCAAAGTAACCAACAAGATATGCAAACACATTTTTTCTCTAAAATTCATTTCAAAATTTACATTTTTTTTCTTGTGTTGCTTTCCCTTACGTTTCACACACCTCTCAACTTTGGGTTGTTAAGAATTTTATATCTGAAGTAGTATGCTTTTTACTCAGTGTGCTGGGTAGGACCCATGTACAAAACTCCAAAAAGCTGCAAATGATACTGACTAAACTAATAAAATGATACTGACTAGACTGACCTGATTAATGAATTATGAGTTAAAAATGTGAATAAAATGTGATCCTCTGAAGTAAAATTTTAAAAATGAGCATTTTAAACTACCTTAGGCATACTTAATCATATTCCTGTCAGATACCAATGTCTGTTATCAGCACAAGTTACTAAACTGACCATTTAACAAGGTGATATAGGAATCATACTGTTTATAGTATGTTCACCTTAACATAAATGCATGATTTCAGTGAAACGCAACGTGACTCAATTACTCAACATATTTATCTAAGAGTTAGTCTATATGCCAGACAAATGAAGAATCCTATTAGATGTCACTCTTCTGGGCAAGAGAAGTACTATTATTTTAAATTGAGAAATTATTTTGGAGTCATTTCTTTATAAAAGTCATTTTAAACTAACATTTTTATTCCTATTGCTTTAGTACCCAAGCCTTTCCTGGTTATGAAACACCAGTCTCCGGACCTAGAACAGCTTTTTCAGTCTTTTTTGCCTTTAATTTTAAGGCATGAAAGAATTAGAATAACCAAAAAAAGTCACTGCAGATTCTGATAGAACAAGGAAGTGAGTGACAAGGAGCACCTTGATCTCTGAAAGAGTATAATCTTTAAAAAAAGATGTTGCTTGGAACTTTTAATAACATCTCACAGAATATTTTTATTAATTTAAAAAGCATTTATTTAGATCAAAAAAGTATTTCAAGTGACTTTCATTTACTGAGATCATCACCAAAGAAAACAACCAAGAACAAAAAAATTGAACTTTCTCCTTGGGTAGTGCTTTCAAATAACATAATTTGGTGGAATAAAGATCTCAGAATCTATTTTAAAAAGGTATTATTTTAAAATAGGTCAAATTCGAATGTATATTTCAAGAACAATACTATTAGAAAACACACCTCAAACCATATAAATGTATTGTTTGTATAGTTCATGTTTACAAAATAAATGAACTCGATTTTCCAGACACAATTTAAACAAAGCATCTATAGAAAAGTGCAAAGTCAATATCATAGCAATTAAAATTCTTAAAAGTTTTAGAAAAATATACTAAGTATAAAATTTAGGTTATAAATTCCCAAGAATTTCCCTTTCCATGAAGATGTATCTTACAAAAAATGTTTATGATACAGAAATAAAGACTATTAAACAAATAGTAAAGAAAGTGTAGAGTCCATTGGCTCTTTTTCTGAAAGGTTTTCTTCCAGGAATATGTCCATGAGTGCGGATTTATAAACCAGAGTCAACACTACTTGCTAACTTGGTCCAAATGCTTGTCCTTTTGCTGGTCATTTTGCTTTTTTTTTTAAACCATGAAGACCATGAATAAGTAATTATCAGATCAGTCAGGTCTTTGGCTATTAATGTCCTCACTGGAAATTGCTATGGTTATCTTGCCCTAGTCATCAATTCAGGGCTTTTCTTCTTTGAGAAAGAAGTTTCTCCAGTTCATCTTGCCAATATCAAGAGCTCACCCACGTGACTTGGTTATGAGATCACGTCATGAGCATCGCTGTTAGGTCTCTGTCGCACAGCCAGGGGAGGCAATGGCTTCCCATAGAAATCTATGCAAAGAAGGGATACCAAAAATACAAAAGCATTATGGTAAATCAAGATTTTTGACACAATTCATCATTTTCCAACCAACAGCTTTACAAGAGTAAGACGCTATGACTTGACAGGTGAAGCAATGGGTCAGAAGAATAGAAAAAAAGAATCTAAGAAAACTTCAATAAATTCAAAACAACTTGGATAAATTACTAACTCCAGATTATATATTAATCTCTACTTGATTTAATGAAAAAGCTGTACCTAAAGTATATATTATTACTTTTGTTTGCAATCACATGTTCACATAGAACAGAACAAAAAATAGTCAGAATCTATAGAACCCGTTGTCAAAGCCCTGACAGATAAGTCAGTGTTTGTACAACCCATGTTCTTATCCAGCACCTACTACTTCCAGGTATTTGGGAGAAATAATTAATTATCTTAGTGTTCTGGTAAGTAGGAATCTTTTACAATGATGTTTTAATACAGCTCAGTGATGTAGGGCATAACTGATAGAAAAAGTCTTATTTTTTTGTACTTCATAAGAAGTTCCTATCCCTTAATTTTCATAAGTTGGTTTATAAACACAATAGCATTCGTAAATCTTCAGTAAGTGTTTTTCAAGCCTATTACTTTAAAATTATTCTAGAAGCATAAGTGTCAGGATCACCTGAAATAATACACGGAAAATATATTAGGGACCTGTCCCCAGTTCTACATGTGTCTAGAGTTCAGCTACATTCCTCCAAGGTACTGTTGTCCTGGTTTCCATTCTGTTTGGCCAAGCGGCCTGTGAGCCTTAAGCAGACACTAGCACCTCGTGAACAGCCTGCAGGATCACAAGTACATGTGATTTCCCCTATGGCCCTCAACATTTTCCCTCACTTTCTAAGGCCTTTCCTTAGATAAGACCCTGGTGGAGCTTACCAAAACACT